GCAGAGTTGGATGAGGAAGCAGCTAAATATGAGGAAGGGCGTTACCGCCCGGATCCGCCACCATATGTGGCCTATGCTGGCACTTCCGGGTTCTCCATGCGGAAGTCAGCCACTGAAAAACCCAAATCTGCAGAGACAAAATTTTCCCTGATATCAGAAAAAGAGAGGAAGCGGATTAAAACCGCGTTCCCAATCTGGGAGGACGCTCAGAATGACAGACATCATTCTCCTTTAGATCTTAAACAGTTGAAGGCATTAGCGGAAGCAGTCCAGACATATGGCGTCAGTGCCTCCTTTACAGTGGCGCTGATAGAAAGACTGGCTGACAATGCCATGACTCCAGACGATTGGTACAATACTGTAAGAGCCTGTCTGACTATGGGGCAATATTTAGACTGGAAGTCCATCTTTCACGAGCTGTGCTCAGCTCAAGCTAATCAGAATATAGCAAATCAGAGGCCTCAATGGAATTATGATATGCTTACTGGACAAGGCCAGTGGGTAGTTAATCAGACCTTATACCCACCTGAAGTATATGAACAAATACCGGTAACAAATCAAGGCTTGGCAGCAGCTGTGCTCTCTGCTCTTATTACTCCTTACACTAGCCATCAAGTACAGGTGCTATGCTCCACTCTAGATGTATGGGCTGTGTTACGATGCACCTACTCCGGCAACATTGATAATCATTAAAGGACCAGATCCTATTTTTATAAGATCCAGGGGAGCTGTGTGTATTTTCCCACAGGACCAAGACGAGCTTGGAGGTGGAGACCCAGGAGATTCAATGGGGGATCCTGTCAGCCTTTCCTCGACCCATGCCGGTGATGCATGATGCACAAGTCTTCCCAAGATTTTTCGCCACTAATGACTCTCTGGGACTACCTTATTTGCCAATGTCTATCTTCTGCCTTTTCCTATTTTAAGGAGTGGGTTGGCGTGGGAATATTTGGAGTGTTGCTACTGGCTGGACTGTTTCTCTGTTTTTGGTTGCTCTGCAGATTCAAAAGACAACAACATTTCAAAAATGTGGCCATGGTTTAGGCTATGTTGGCTGTGGAACAGGGAGCCTCCCCTCAAGTCTGGCTTAACGTGCTCAGCCGTTGAGACTCTGTCAGAACTTTTAGCACCCCTGAAGGGCACAGGTTCCCATTGCACCAGGATGCTGTTCTAGACAGACCTCTGCACTCCCCAGGGCTCGGGTTCCCATTGCACGGGGCTAAGGGTGCAGAGGGTCTCCTGCACCGTGTAACCTCCTTGATCGCTGGTGCTGTTGAGTCAGCAGGCTGATCGGAAAACTCATGGTGTAATATTTTCCTCTGGCTGATTTTTATAAAATTAATAAGGGGGAGATGTCGGGAGCCACTCCCGCCATTACAAGATGGCGCCGGTTTCCTGCTTCCTGGTTCTTCTTGCCAGCATTGTTTTGCGATCTGCGCATGCGCCGCCTTATGCTAATGTAGGCTTGTGTGGTCCTCCATTTGGAGACCACATGCTAATTGGGTTTTGTGTGGAGCACCAATTACAGACAAACAAGTCACCCTGCTGGCTACTTAAGCAGAACGCACACAGGGTTCGGGGTCCTTCTCCATCTGCTGTTAAGAGCCTCACAATAAAGTTGCTGCTGGACAAATCTGTTGTTGCTGCATCGTCCTTATCGGCGAGGGCTGCGCGTGACACCAACTGAATCAGGGACAGAAGCCTGGCAGACGAGAGCCCTGGAAATGGGGAAGGACATCACTAAAGGGCAACCTTGTCTTGCCAGCTTGGCTGTACTTGATTACTTGTGGGTTTGTTCAAGGAAATAAATGTGAGCCCTTTCTCTCTTTCTGGGACATTTTCCCTGTTTGAAAGGCCAGGTCATGCACACTTTCTAAACACGTTTTCCGGGGGCTACGTGTAGTGGCAAGCTGATCCTGGTATGTGATCTTGAAGGAACAATTTCATTTTTAGAGTAGTCTTTGGCTTTCAGCAAAGTAGGAATCCTGAAAAAAATTTTTTAGTAGCCCGTGACATTTTTCGTGCAGGTATTGTTGTGTTTAAAACTTACCAGGAAGGCAGTTAGTGACCTACAAGAAACTTAAGAGACAGAAGCGAGTCCACAAGCTTTAAGCATCTTAATTTCCCTACCTGTGAAGTGGGCAGATGAGACTTCTCCAATGACTCTCAACCCTGACACTTTAAGGCATCATCTGCCTTCAGAAACTGAGCAATGATAAGCAGAATTTTCCATTTTACCCTTCTGCCAGCAAACTGAGAGACTGCCTGAAAGACGAGTCAGTAAGAAAAGCTCACGACACCCCAGATTGCTGTATGGTTGGTGATATCAGAGCAAGAATTACTGTGGGGAATCAGAGACAGACATGAAAAAGAACAGTGCTCACCCAGCAGACTGTACAGCAGTGATTACAATTTGTCCAAGTGTTATTGGAAGTTCTATCTTCTATTATGTAAGTTTTTATCACTTTTAAATGTGTTCTAGTTGAGTTGGCATGTTTTATGATTTGCCTTGCTTCAGAGATAAGCACATTGTCAAAGATTAGATTAAAATTCCAGGAGCATTTTTTTCTTTTTTTAATTTAAAAGGTGGAGGTTGAGAGAAGACACAGTCCAGGGAAAGGTACTTTAAATACTACTATTTAAAGCATTAGGACTTGAAATGCTCTGTGCCTAGGACAATAAAATGGAAGCTAATTTCAAAGGTCTTCCCGTGATTCACTGTGAGCCCACAGAAGAGTGGGAAATGAGGCGTCAATACAGTATCAAGACTTCAGGCTTTCGCTTAACAGCTCTTCCACTCATAACCTAGGTACATTGTTGGTCTGGTGTGTAGACATTCCTACAGGCTGGCAATTAGATCACTCCCCTTCTGTTCTGTCACAAATAGACATGCTAATCTGTTACCTTAATTATTTTTATTTGATTTTTATTATCTAATAATCTTCTATTCATTTCCTGGCAACCTAAATTAATGTTTGCTTTTTTGGAGCACTGAAGACGCTGTAATGTGATAGTCTACATAGAGAGCTCAGGGAGGGAGTTCCTCCTAAGCTGTGGCAGATCTCTCAGCTCTACCTAAAGAACTACAAACCACGTGTGTGGGCATTTAACTGTTTTGCATTGGATCAAGGATATGACTGTTTTCACCAAGCCTCAGAGACCTCCCCTTTATGAGAACATTCATTGGACTAATGGCTTGGCCATGAAGAAAATAAGCTTTCATTACTAAAGACAAGAAAATGATTTTGAAAGGAATGACCTGGAATGGATTATCTAATACATCTTTCGAAGATATTTCAAAATGAATGTGACTCATACATTCAAACAAATACATTTTGCTTAATGTTCAAAGGACTGTTACAACTAAACTTTTGTCTATTGCCTCTTTTCCCTACATTAGTACTTACAGTGTAAGATACAGGCAGTATTGTATTGTCATCACTGTGCTGAGTCCTTTAGCTGGTTCTTACATCTAGATCAAAGGCAGCCCATCTGACTTTAGTGTCTCTGGATATAGAAGTTCTAGACCCATAACCCAAATCTCACATCTGAGAGTTATCTCTGGGTTTTTGTCTAGACTAAACTCAGGGCTTTCTGAAGATGGAACTGTGAGTTTGGGCACCTTGAAGACAATCTCATGTGGATTAGACAAGCCCACGTGCCTCACAAGGGCCCACTAACTATTCCTTACATAGGCTTTGTAAAGAGTAATTTCCCATGTTTTTCAATTGAATTGTCATGTAGGTGTATGTAAACCAATGTGCCTCAGGAACCAGCCACCTTGTGTAGCAGAACCTATGACAGAATGGCAGGACAGAAGTAGTTAAGAGGCTCTGCGTGTCATGTGTATGTATGTGTCATGCACAGATATATAATTTCCAAAACTCTCAAAACTTTATGTTTTGGTACATATGCTATGCTTCTTTCAAGTGCTGGGGTCTGGGATCTATTACATAAATAAAAAAAATGTGAAAGGTTTTAGAAACATTAAGACAACTTAGAAAAATATTTAGTGCAAAGTAAGGTGTTCCATAAGTAACATGTGATAAGAGATTATGGCATTCTTCAGTCTAAAGGCACCATAGGGTTTGGGCTTGTATCTCATGCTCCACATAGATTGCTTTATTGGGAATGGCTCCCCACCTTAGTTCCTGTGTTCCCTAGCTTGGGTCTCTCATATGTACTTGATCACATTCATTCTAAAGCAAACAAACAAAAGCCCATCATGTCCTACTCCAGGAACCAAATGTACTTCCAGTACTTCCGACCATAGTTGGGACGTAATAGCCCCCCTTTATGGCAGGTGTGCAGGGGTATATAATAACAAAACTCATTAAATTATATAGTGGTGCAATTTTATCATGTAAATCCTGTGTTTGTAAACCAACTTGGAAGGAGCAGAAATGAGAAGACCTCTATTTAGAAAAGACCCCGTTCAAATTCAAGCTCCAATGCTCTCCTCCTGGCAGGTGACTGGACCTGTTTTATATGCATAGGCTAATGGTCACTTTTCTGATGCTGAAAGGTTAGCGACATTAGTGGTGTCACCTTTGCCACACAGTGCTTTCATAGACCAGGTGCTCCGCTGTTCCTAGCACAGCTATTTCCGTGTTCACCACACACCCCTGCCTACCAAAAGCTAAGAGGATAAGATACATCCCATGTTTTACTTTCTCATTGCATCCAGCATAAAGGAGAAGCAAGTTTTGTTTTTTCATTGCTAGACCTACCCATTTAAAAAAATTAGATGCTTGTCAGCAGGCATCCTAACATACCCAGTCTGGAATAAGCACATCTGTTTAACCATCTTGGCCAGCTCAAGTCTGGCAGACACGTAACTGGTCAATAACTCAGCTCTGGTTCCCCAGAGTGCCACAGGGCTTAATGACATACCTTTCAACGTGATAGTCTTTTAGAGTAGCAGGATGATCTCTTTCTCTTTAGAGCAAGTGGACTGACTATACTGATTTTTAACCAATAAGTCACAATGTTTTCCATGGTTCAAAGTTAAGCTTTTATTCAGTTTTAAATTAAAAAAATAAATTTCATTATTAAATAGTGAGATGGGTCTAACTAATGTTCAGAGAATTTTTTACTTAGGAGCTGGGGGGCACAATTAAGGAGGGAAGATCACCTAAACTAAAATTATTAGTGTTGTAGTATTTGTGAAAAGTCCAACAGTGGTGTGATTCCAAAGAAACTAAAATACAAAGTTTTAAACATGTACAGTGGAGGAAGAAGTGAACCACGTATTCTACTACAGCCAGAAGCTACCTTCCCAGTGCCAGTCAGTGTGGTCGCTATACCACAGTACTAATGTCATCGGGCTCATCTGCCTTCTTTTGCCTGCTTGGCAGGGATTTCAAGTATTCAAGGTGTCTCCGGGCATCCTCCTGATTCTGCCTCACATAATATACCACATAGGAGATCACCATGGTGAACCAGCCAAACATGGTGACGAGCATGGCATAGTCAGTAGTCTTTTTAGGGAGGTTACAAAGGTCAGCATCGTTGGCGGCATTGAGGAAAGGTCTCCCGGCATGCTCGTCCAACACCGAGGTCTTGCAAATTACATTGTGTGCTGTCTCATGATTGGATGCCATGCTCCTCAGAACTTGCTGGAGAGTGCAGTCACAATGCCATGGGTTGTTGGCAATCCTAGCCCTGGCCTTCAGATTATTGAAGGCATTTTTGTGCACGCTTTGGATCCTGTTGTCAGATAAGTCCAGGGTCTGCAGGGTTTCTGCTACTCCTTTGAACGCATGCTCATCAATAAATTCAATGCCGTTTTTGGACAGGTTGAGAACTCTTAGTTGATGGAGGTCTTTAAAAATCTCATTGGGGATGGAAGTGATCTGATTGGAGTCCAGATACAGCAAAACAGTTTCTGGAGGGAGATCTCTGGGTATTTCCTTGAGATTTGCATTGCTACAGGTGACATTTAAACCCCCAGAGGAAGAACAAAGGCAGCCCTTGGGACACATACTGGCAGAATGAAAGCACAGTATCATTAGGACAAAGCTTTGGAGGAGGAGACACATGGAGAGGGAACGGGACAGCCACAGGTCGACCAGATTCATTCTGGAACCTCAGCATAATCACGAGTCCATTCCTCATTCACTCCAAGTATGGCAACGGTTCTGGATCTGACCACACTCTGGATTTCCTTCCAGAGTCGTTCAAAAGGTTGCAGCTAGCACACAGCCTTCTTCATTGTGCCAGTCCTTGCCTAGGAACCTAAAGGAAAGGGAAGCAGATGCAATTAGCTCTTTAGCAAGGGGAAGTGCATAGCAATTAAAAAGTGCTCTCAGGTGTCTGCCAAATGCAGGGCAGGAAGGTGAGTTAGGCAGGTAATTTCCATCAAGGCCACTGGGGGTTTTCTGTGTACTGGGGATCTCCTGCTGAAAGCTCCAGTGCTAGGAAGGAGACTCTCAGCAGAGGTCAACATTTCCATATCCCGTTATCATCTTGTTTTCAGCCAGGGCAGAATTAGAGTAAACTTTTCCCACCTCTTCTACTCCTCTTCTGGACCTTTCTACAGCAATAAAATATAATTGCATCTTTTTCTCCTCCTGCAGTAACTGAGGCATTATGCAATCATCCTGCATGCGGGCAGCAAGGAGAACTGACACCTGTATTTCAAGGCTAATGACCGTAGACAGGGGTGTCTTGCCATGGCTTTGAGAAGATACTCACTGTAGAATAACGTCTCTAAAGCAACATCTAACTGAAGAAGTGGATGGCGCCTCTGATCTTCACTGCACAACGTTGCGGGGGGGGAAAACCAACAGCCTCCGCAAGCATTGCTTTCCTCTGAGCTCCGGAGAGTACACTGTACCTGGGAGGATGCTCCTGAGTGCATCCCAAAGGAGCCTCTGTCTGTTTCCTAAACAACACACCCTCAGCCCAAGTGAAACAGGGCACACTGCTGTAAGGCTTTTTATATAAAAGAAGATAATTAAGAAATGCTGGTTTGCAGAACATCCACAATAGGCTATTTATGCTTTCACAGATAGTGGATGAGAGTGTGCGCACACATACATACACACACAAGCATGGGCGCACACACACACACACACACACCGTATATGTTATATATACTGTTATATTTGTGTAGACTGTATGTACATAAACGTCTTCATATACACATATTAGTGTTAGAAGCAGCCATTGAAATTGCCCAATAGATTTTTTCTTGCTAATATGTATTATATTTGATTTACACACACACACACACACACACACACACACACACACACACACACACAC